TTTGTAGGTTTAAGTAATACACCACCACCACCACCACCTTCCCCCCACCCCCGGCTGTAAAAAGTACATCAGAATGAAATAAGTTTCCGTGGTCTTTTTTAAATATCTATTCAATGGAAGCCCATTTACTCTTTCAGCAGCAAATGTTGGTTTCTTTTATAAAAATAAAGTCTCATGGTGTGCAGTCCTCTCCACCTGCACAGATCCTTTGAACCCTGTGGAGCCCCTCAAAGAATCATGACCCACATGTGAGATATTAAGCATCAAACTACAAACTTTGGCACAAGTGCCAGAAACAGCCACCAACTCCTTTGGCAAAAAAATTTTCAGAGAAGGGGACAGTATAAACTGTCACTGTCTACCTCATCCTCCCATTGTCCCAACCCTCCCAAGCTGCACTGATATTCTTTGCCCAACATTCCCCCTCTATTCCATATAAGGGCAGAGATATTTTATGAGTAAGGCGAAGGTTACCAATAAGATCCCAGCTGCAATTCACTGAATGCTGTTGTGCTGATGCACATTTATGACATCATGAACAAATATTAAAACCAATTATGTCATTTTAGAGAATCGAGCTACACAGACACACTAATCTGTTTTTATCCTATTAAAATGAAGGCACTCATATCAAGAGAAGCACTATTTGATACATAACACACGGATATCTTGTCATAACTGCCTCTTCAGGCACCATTTTATATTGAAATTCCAATACAATAAAGCAGACTTCAGAGTAATGCACCTTCAGAGTAATGCACCTGTCTGAATACATGGTACTTCTTTATAATATACCTCTACCATAAAAATCAGTTGCATATATATTCCTCAGGTTGCATAGAAGCATTGTATCTGTACCAAGAATGTTATCTGCTGATGCTTACTCGTACCACCATTCATACTAACTTTTAACCTAATTATTGAAATAGTTACTTGATAATTTGGAAAGAAACAAATAGCTTCCTTTAGCAGTTCAACCTTATCACATCTTTTCTAGCAGTTACCCACACACCTGCTTCTTCTCTTTGACTGAAGTACAGAAACACTGATGTTAATTAAATTCCACATTACTAAAAACTTTCAAAAGGAGAAGTACAACTTTTTTTGGTACAAAAAGGAGGGCAGGGTGTTGCGAAACCTCCCGTCTCTTGTTCAAACTTAATCAGCAGAAGACTCTGATTAGAAGCCTACAGTGTTGTGATGGGTTCTGAGTTAAGTGAAGAGAAAACAGTTTAGAAAAGGAAGCAAATATCTAAATAAGGAAAGTAATACCAAAGTAATAGTAACAAGACAATGTTTTAGTGAGATTTAAAGGAGACAACAAATTGAGAAACAACGTTCCTCATTGGAATCTAGAAAAGTATTAACAGGACAACAGTACACCCCAGTGTTCTCATTATTTATTGGTAAGTAGTAATGCTGCATATAGACAGAGGTTGAGCACTTGCATACACTGGCGCTGTCTACACATTGGCATGATTTTGTGCAAAAGCGTATGCTTTTGCGCAAAAACTTGCTGCCTCTCTACACTGGCGGGGAGTGCTTGTGCAAGAACACTGACGTTCTAATGTATGAAATCAGGGCTTCTTGCGCAAGAACTATGATGCTCCCGCTCAGAATAAGCCCTCTTGCACAACTTTTCTTGCGCAAGAGGCCAGTGTAGACAGGCAACATGAATTTCCTGCACAAGAAAGCCAGATGGCTAAAATGGCCATTGGAGCTTTCTTACGCAAGAGAGCGTCTGCACTGGCATGGATGCTCTTGCGCAAAAGCACATCTTTTGTGCAAAAGCACATGCAAGTGTAGACATTCTCTTGCGCAAATACTCAAACGCAAAAACTCTTGTGTTAAACGAGTATTTGCGCAAAATCATGCCAATGTAGACATAGTCTAGGGATACCTGCACCACAGCAAACCTCACTTCAGACAGATATTCTGCACTGAATTATTAATGAAAACTTGCATAGTGACTGAAGGAAAAAAAACTGAATCCTTTCCATTTTCAAATTAGCACTCACCTAACTGGAAAACTGCAGGTAGTTTTTCCTGTATGCTTTAATTGGACATAGAAAAGTAAAGGTCTAGAAAAGTTTTGGAAAAACTTTAGTCAACATAACTGCAGCAAAACCCAATGGTCTGGTGGTTTAAACACTATGTTGGTAATAAAATTGATTATACATCTTTGTATCCAAGTTCCCTCTCTGGTCTTAGCCTCTCAAGTTGCCTATTAATTCATCACCATAAATGGGTGGATTGAGAGATTAGCATATATATCAATATCACCACACCAGCACCTTTTCCTGACATAAAAGGTGCATTATAAAACAAGTTTAACAGGAAAGATTAAAAACTAAACTTCTATACTTGATTATGAAGTATACCATGCCCTGTCAAAATTAACCCACCAATTTAAATCACAACTTGTGTCTGAATATTTACTACTATTGTTGCAAGCAACCGTTAAATTATTATTACTAAATACCTGACAGATCTTTCTGTTTGTACTTTGGAGGCTGCGTATTGGCAGTTCATGTTTACACAAATGTTTGAACAGATATATGGCTGTAAAACCACGACCAAACTATTTTCAACTCATTTGTTATTTTTATTTTACTGCCATAGCACACAGGACTCAAGTTATGGTCTCCAGAGGTGCTTGGTTCCATTCAAACACTGAAAAATTGGGCAATCCCTGAACCAAAGAACTTACACTTTAAATCACAAGACAATGTCAATTTGGTGTCCCATTCAATACAGCAACAGGAAAGCCAATTACTGAAACAAAGTATCTGGCATTCAACAGCTGAGAGAATATTGAAAATTTGGTAAACCACAACCCTCCCTCCAAATCTCCACAGATCTATGTCATAAGTTTAGAAGTGAATCAGTTTCCAAAAAGGTTTTAGGCCAGATAATAGATATTGAAGTGTCACTTAAATAGGACAATTCTTCCTCAATAGGTACCAACTAGTGTCCAATTAAAGCACACAGGAAAAACAATCTGCAGTTTTCCAGTTAATTCGTAGGGAACCTACTTGGAGATCAATGTCAGAAGCAACCCAAACATTAGGAAAAGCATTAAGAGATACACTGGGAGAAATGTTGCATTTACCCTCGTATTTCCTATTGACAGGCCGTCTCAGAAACCTACTCCACTGCCCCCAGTCACGCAAATGCCATAAAGCACACAGGAAAAACAATCTGCAGTTTTCCAGTTAATTCGTAGGGAACCTACTTGGAGATCAATGTCAGAAGCAACCCAAACATTAGGAAAAGCATTAAGAGATACACTGGGAGAAATGTTGCATTTACCCTCGTATTTCCTATTGACAGGCCGTCTCAGAAACCTACTCCACTGCCCCCAGTCACGCAAATGCCACACAACCCATTTGGCCCCCCCCCCCCAACGCAGAAGAAAACAACCCAGCACGTGCTGCCACTTCGCGGGCGAGGGGGTGCGCACCCCAACCAGGGCTGTTTGTGGAGACCCCGGTTTCTCC